TTTTTTTTTTCACATTAAAAAAAATAAAATTCGCAAGTTTAGAAACAGGAAAAATATCGTTAATGGCTGGCGAATCTAAATTTATACATTGCCCCGAAAAGAATAATCAAAGAGTGTTTTAAGTGCGAGATTCTGACGAACGTCCCCTCTTTTTCCCGTTTATTTCCGCACGAAAGTAAAAATATCTTACAGTCGATGGTTACTTTAAATACGAAATGTATATACGTTATATGATTATACACTAAAGCAAATGTAACAAAGAAAGTCATTCAATGCCTTTTTTTCTATCGCACTATCCAAACCGACACTTGTTCTTTTTAATTGCAGTTACAATACGTAAATTTCTATTTTAATAAAAAAAAAAAATTTTAATGGAAAAATAGAGCAAATTTTCTGCATTTCTCAACAAAAGCCACGAGTGCAATATAAAAAATCTCGACTACGGAAGGATGCCCCTGGCCTTTTTTAAAACAAAGCTCCTGGTCCCCCGCAAAGGGCTGGCGCCGTAGTACAAAAAAAAGATAGAGCCAAGTAATGATACGATACGCCATAAGCAACAGTCTTCCCAGAGCAAGAGATAAAAAAAAAAAAAAAAAAAGAGAGAGAGGGAATCACCCACCGCCGACATTGCACTCCCTCGACGGCCTTGGTCCTTCGATTACACACCTCCTCCCACTTCTCGCTACTTATTTTGGGGAGGCTGAATAAGTACGCCGAGATACGTACCTATGTGCGTGTGCACATTAAACCTACCCTCCACACAATAGACAGTGAATAAAAAACAAAACAAATGGCAAATGAAACTGTAGCCGGTGATAAGCTTGCGAACCTCGATGACGTCTAAACAATCCCGTTACGGACGATCAAAATTACCAATAAGGTATGAGCTGTCAATTTACAAACCAGAAGAGAGAGAAAAAGCGTGGCAGACGACGACGACACGCGTGCAGTGTATATATAAGTAACTCTCTCTCTCTCTTGCACTCTTATATTTTTGTAAAATCAGGAGGATAAATTGACACAAATATAATCGTCCTTCCTTTTGTGTGTTCTGTCGCTAAAGGACATAAATATGTTGTGTGTACAGGGAGTCGGAAACGAATAACGTTCGTTAGGAAAGGTTAGAAATTTAAAAGGCACACCGTTACGAACCATAACACACCGCTCTCGCTGATAGATACTACTATATGTTATTTGTTGTTGTTCTGTTGACGTATATACACACCTGTAGGTGTGGGTTAGTTTGATAAAACGGAGCAAACGAGCAAAAGACCGCGCAAAGTGAAGCACCAATCACATTGAAACATCTTCCGCATTGTTGGTAAAATTTAAACAGTAGATACATACTTTGGTGGTGATATACGTATGTACGGATGAAGGGGAGGGGGAGGGTTGATTTTTTGGAGCAAGGCGCAAGAGAGGGGCAGCTCCACTACGGCTGCGGCGCAGCAGCCCTTCGTACGTATATATTTATGTACTCAATGATGCGCGAGAGAAAAGAAGAGCAAGTTAGCAATGGTAAAAAAAGCGAGAGAATAAAAATGATAAACAATCAACGCGCAAGGTCCGAAAGGGGGAGAGATAAGGGAAGGCAGGTAAAAAAACAATCATTCGTGACTCACCTCGAGCTCCCCTCGTTGTCGACAGCTTGCTTGCGCTCTCTTTCCCTTCCTCTCTCTTTCTCTCTCTCTCTCTCTCTGTTTCTCTTGTCCTGATGATGACAGAGAAAGAGAGAGTGTACTTTTATTGCTGCAACCACACACTCCTTGTTCTATCCTCTTTGCGTCTCTACCGATACTGATGCTGCAGACTGTACTCTCTGGACAGATCTTCCTCCTCCTTTTCCTTCCTCTATATATATACCTTCTTGTGTTCCTTACACGACAGTAGCAGGAAGCATCGCTATACCTTTCCCTCTCCCTCTTGCAAAATGTATTCAGGAGAGCACGAGTCAGCGAGTAAAGAAATAACTTCTTTTTTTTTTTACGTGCGCATTTTAGGCACCACGACGAAAGTTAGAGAAATTTATTATGACAGTAATCTACGGAGGAGATGGAGAATTAAGACCGTCTGCGTGTAAGAGAGGGCAGCTTTAAGCGCGCGCCGCCGGCGACTGCGGCATCCTGAGCAGAGCCAAGGCTGCGCTATACTGCTGCGTGTAAATATGTATACATATATACATATAAAAGCAGCACATGACACAGCAGACAGCATAGCCGCTTTTACTGGACCATGTATATTAAGGTTAGGAGCGCCATAAGATGCGACTACTACAAACTGCAACTGTAAAAATAGGTACGCACAACAATAATATACTTAAACGTAATAATTAATGACTGATATTGTCTATCTATTATACATTAATATATACAACACACGATCGCGCAGCTATAACGTTTACATATATATACATAATATACAGCAGCTGTATAGTTGATTGCTGTCTGCTATTACCTACGCGCAGCAGAGCGGCGCATGCATTTTTACGTTATACGCGTATCATATATGGCTCATTCTACGAAAACTACATTATTTTTTTTAATCCCACAAATACTTAGTTCTAATTTTATTGTATGTAGAACAGTATTTATTATTTGGTAAGAAAGTATTTTCAACATTATCCTTCAAAGACAGAACCATAAAAATATTTCTAATTTGTAAGTTACAAGGCAAGAAGAAGCTAATAATCGTCTGTATAGTTTTAAAATGGTGCTTTAACGTTAAATTTTAAAGTTTTCAGGCTTCAGCTTATCCTGCGAGGACCTTTCTTTGTATTTCAGAATAATTAAAAAATGTTTCTTAACCAGTATAACTTGCATGAGTTCCACCGGGTATGTACCCAAAAATTTTCAAATAACTTGAATTCCATATGTTTTCAAAAAATTTCAAACCCATTATACACAACATTGCACTTTGTGTAAATTTTGATCCCAAGTCAATGCTATACCCTATGCCGATAATACCGGTTGTATTGCGCGCGGCCAGAACGCAAAGGCGTTTGATTTTTTTAAAAGAATTTTATATTCCTAGAAGTAAGTTCACGTAAAATAATGATAGTACAATATTATGTACAAAATAATCATATTCCAACCAAATCATGAAATTCACTTACGTACATTTAACCAATTTAAAACGTTGTTGTTATTAATAAATCCTTGTACTTTTTTTTTTATCACCTCATACACTTGAGGTTGCACTTAAAGAAAGAAGAAACTTGAACTGATAAAATAATAATACTTACCTAATCAATTTCGAAGTTGGTAACCTTAACCGAGAGGGAAAGAGAATGTGAACTTTGCGGGAAAGGCCACACTCGAACGATTCACGTGTGAAAAGCGGAAAGAGATTATTGAGCCGAAATGTCAAGGATCAAACTAAAACTGTGTTTTTTAATCTGAGTCGGCGGCAATTATTACATGAGATAATTCGGTAGAAATTTCTTTTTTTTTTTTTTTTATTACTTCGATGGTTGTTGATGGGAAGATCATATTGTGAAGATGAAGAAATAATAAAAGCAATATATTTTACGATGAAAATCGAGATTTATTTTAAGGCTGATTGCGAGAGAAACGAGATGTTGCGTGACGATTGTCTGGGAGAACTTTTTATGTAAATTGAACTAGAGACCTTGCCTCCACATATTGTACGTTGTACAGGTATACATTTGAACTTAGTACTGCTCTTTTTTGGGGTGGCACAAACAATCAGTATTTATTTTCCAATTAAGCAGGTTTTGTTCGAGTGAAACTTTTTATCGAAATATTTCATGAAATCAACGATATCTTCAAAACACTGTCGAATCAAATGGGGATGCAATACTCGACACATCCATCGTTGTTCTCCTCTCAATTTACGAAATCACCAATAAACTGACGAAAAGCAAAAAAGTAATTCCTCCCACGCGAAGCCAAACAAGTTAGAAAAGCAAAGCGCATGCAAGTATGTAACGTGCACCACTCGGGCCTTTGAACAAACTCGCTTTTCCAAAAACTTTTCGTTGCGCTCGAGCGGGGGGATTATGCACAAAAGCTCCCTCGCCCGACTTGAATTTAATTACCTACGAAACAAGAGCAAACACAACTTATTATCAAGCCTTGGATTTTCGAGGCCGCAGATATGTGTTGCATGCCAAACAAGATTATGGACACTATCGAACTAGCACGTGTTCTTTTCAAAAGAGAAAAATAAATAAAATAACATAAAATGCAGCTGCACACATGGTGTCTCATCGAGCAAAAACTCTGTTGAGACTGTACTCCCCTATATGTATCCATCGGCTCAACATGTTGGGTCAATAGTACATCAACACAATTTTGTGTACACATAGAGTGCAGGTTCACGCGTATTTATTAATGAATAGGTGTATCTACAGCTGCGTGACGCGTTCCCCTGCCGATTTCGAATAGTCCCCCTGCTGTGCGTGTCACTTGCAACGCTCCCCCATACAAGCATCCCCCTACTGTTAATTACATTATTCGTGGGTGTCGTATATGGGAAGCCTTTGAACGGACATACGAGCAAGTGGCTTATAGTTATCATACAATCGTAAATAAATATTGGAGTGGGCCCATCAGGTTATAAACAGCAATTTTAATCGAGGCAGATCGGTAGTTTCAACTGTACGGTTTCGACGCAATTTGTCAAAGATATTTACGTGCGATTACGTTCAACAATTATGGAAATATGAAAATAAATAATTTTCAATTTACGCTGTAATCTTGACTGATTTTCATTATCTAAAAAATCATAGGCAAGCTGTTTTGATGAAAATGAGAATTTACCGACAATACAAAGCAATATTTAATTCAAAGCCTCAGTTGTGTCGCGCGTGGAATGAAAAATAACTTTTAATAAAAAGATAAATCATAGTTGCGTTAATAAGGAGAACATTTGCGTAACTGCAAAAGATTTTGAGAAGTATCATACTTTTCATTATTTTATTAAAATTCTGTAGAAAATTAAAAAAAAAAAAAAAAAAAAAAAAACCTATTACAACTTGTACCAAAAAATACTTCAATCCAAATATTTACAAACATTTTGCTTTGTACATTATTTTCAAGTATTTTATGTACATATTTCTTGTTATTTACGAACAAGTATTTAAAGTAACTAAAATTTAACAACTGACATAAGCATTTGATAACTTCAGCATCTTTTTTTCAGCATATGATTTGAACAGTGAAATTATGATTTCCAAAGCCATAGGTAGTGCAAGCATGTTTAAAAGAAAACTGAAGCATTCACAGTCTTTGCCAAATCATCTAAATCTTTTACCATACCTATTTTCAATTTCATGGGATGCTGAATAACTGTCTGCCATAGCAAAGGACTAAAAGTATTAAAATGTTGGTTAAATTACAAAAAATTTACCAACCACAGAATATTTATGTGTAACTTACTCTTTTTCTGCTGTCTTCATTCTTTAAGTTTTCACCACCACATTCATCATCATCAGAGTTTTCAGGCTTTTCTTTCATCACACCTGCCTGAAATATAACGAGAATTAAGTTTACAGGTAGAAAAACTTTAAACAATAATTTCTCGAATAAATTTTACTATTTATAATTTACCCATAAATTTTTGTATTCTGGTGAAGTACTTTCTAAAAGTAACAACCGATCCTCTATTTTTTTTAATCGTTCATATACATCTTTGGGGACTGGTTTATTCATTCCCAGTATTTTTTCCGTGGATGATATTCTTTCTTCAAGAACTGATGGATAATTATTTGACTCGTTTTTTAATTTTGGAGAAACATTTTGATGGCTCCATTGATTATACACTCTACAAACTTTATGTCCAATTGAATATTAATTTACTGTGTGAGATGGCTGTAAAAATGTCCTTTATTAATTCATAAATATTACCATCCCTGTGATTCCTAGAACTTTTATGTTTCGTCCAAATAACGTTGACTCTACTACAAGTTGATGTTTTGTCATCACTGTTATGATTATCCAGGTTTTGGCTGTAAAATAAAATACAGTATATGAATAATATAGAACACACTATTAAAAAAAGTATAGTATTCTTTATCAAACCTGCAAATACAATTTTCTTGTAATTTTATTAGACTTGCTTTTTGTTTTTTATTTAAACAAAAAGCTTGTATCCGATTAAACATTTCTTCTGTGTTCCTTTTTATTTGACACATATTATAATCAACACTGATTGTTGCACGTCTTTCACTATCTGCCAAGCTCCCATCCGAACTATAATCTAAGGGTTCAGACTTGACTTTAACTGAATCTGCATCAGTGGTATTTTGACAGACAGATGACATTTGTGAATTATACACTTCCAATTTATTTTCTTCTCTCTCTTTTGGTCTTTGCTCTGTTTTTGGATAGATATCACCTACAATAGTTGAATTGGAAAGGTATTAAAACTTGATTTTAGTACATAAAAATTGTTATTTATTGTTCAAAATAAATAAAGAATCTTACAAATGATAAGAACTAAATGTTCTACATGCATTTACGTGTATTTGTAAAAATAAAATATATATGTAACCAAAAACAACAAAAATAGTGTCAAACACTCGTGGTTAAAGAGCAACAGTTATTAAAAATTTAAAATTTTCAAACAATTAAGAAATTTGTTCATGTTAGTAATAATTTATTTACTTTTCGTCCATAAACACTCTTTGTTCTCTTTCCATTGGGCCTCATCATCTTCATAAACTTCTTTTTTCCAAATAGGTACTACTGATTTTACTGTATCAATAGCAAATTGCACAGCTTGTAAAGATTCTTGCCTGTGTGGTGAAGATATGGCAATTACAATGCTTGCTTCAGTGACAGGAACTTGTCCTAAACGATGATAAATAGCAATTTTTTCTACAGCATACTTGGAACGAATCATTTTACATACTTTTTGCATTTCTTTCACAGCCATGGATTCGTAAGCTTCATACTCAAGATGTAATACCTGCAATAGACATGACATAAATGTTTAAAAATTCACTATAAAGATTGACATCGGTATAATGTTGTTGTTTTCATTAAAAATACCTTTTTCTGTTCAAAATTGTCCCTTGTTGTTCCAATAAAAGTGGAAATAGCTCCACAGTTTGGGGACACTACGGTTTCAACAATGTTATCAAAATTTAACTTGGTCGAGTAAAGACCAACATAATCCTTTGTATCCTCCATATTATCCTGTGAGATGAAAATAATGTCAGTGATCAATAACAACCCCAACGAGTCAAGAATCATGCATAAACCACAAAGGAGTGAATTAAAACAAACATAAAAACTTGTGAGCTTGCACTCAAATTTAAACTTATGGAACCTTTAAAATCACGAAAAAAACGAAACTCACAACACATATGGTAAACAAAAAGAGAGTTGTATCACCTCCACTGATTGGCGGTATCACAGCAATTTCATCGCCTTCTGCGATCTGCAACGTGGCAGCCTCGTCGACGACACTCTCGTTGTGAGCCAAGACGAAAGTGTCCTTGATACTGTCCAGATTGAACTCGTAGACAACTCTATCCTTTAAATCTTCGAAGGTCAGCGAGTGAGATGGTAAGACGAGTTCGGCTTTACGAGCACCGGCGAGCTCACATGCTTTGGCAAAAAAGAGAACCCTGACGTGAATAGCAGACGATGGTTTTTCTATGCTCATCCTAGTCGTCTCCTATAAGAAAGTTTAGGGTACATTCAGGCTGGCTTACAATGACTAACTTTTGGAGTTGCGAGTGCGGTGTAAAGGCGGGTCCTCAAGTAACGCTACACAGTCCATACTTACGTCCACAGTATAGTCCACTAGTCCAAGCAAATTCGCATGAACTACAGGTAATTAAAAAAAACAATGTTATTTCAAGTTTATCAATTATCAGCCTAATAACTTTAGTAGCGGATCAAGGAGGTATATTTGAGCATCATTAATGTTTATTTGCATACAATATGTCAATAGGCTCGACGATTAAATGGCAACTCTGGACGTTATTAAATAATTGATTGTAACTGCATAAGCTGTATCCTTTTAAATTTCTCGATATATAAGTATACCTATGAACAAATAATCAATCTGATTATCATGGAGTCAACCCGAGATAATCGCGAAATGCAAAAAAAAGTAGAAAAACCAAAGATTGATAACGTCTAATCTATAGTTGGAGATTAGAACTGATTTTGTTTAATTTTTAACTAATCTTCAGTTAGTGATAAAGATCTGTCTACAGATACAAACGTCTTCTACGTGGCTAACGTGTGAATACATATAGGTATGGGTATAAATGATTTTTTTTTTTTTTTTAACTTCTTAATTGGCAACATGGGCATCATCAGGAGTCAATTTCAGCCAATGGGGCATAGTAAATGATGGTTCACATCCATATGCACAATGCTACCTTGTAGATTTCCATATTGCTGTTGTTATTGTTGCTGTTGTCAACGAGCGTATATATTGCAGGAAGGGTGTGCGCGCGCAATATCCAGGGTAAGGAGGTCAGTGATGAAAACAAGGTCAAACAGTAGCTCTTGGCAGAGGGGTGGTCCTTTAGCACACCCAGCCACACTATCTCCTCTCCTTGGCCTGGGCGTACTAATCTCATTGTACTAGTGGGCGTTAGGCTGATGCTGCACGTATACATGGTGAGCAACACATAAGCCGCGCATCCATGGGTCGTTGATTTGTCGCAGCGTTGATCTTATGTAGGAAATATTTGAAACTTGCTCGCACACATTCAAATATTATAAATAAGTATAATAGTATATGCTCTCCTAAGTTGTTTGAAATAAGTTATACTTCTGGGAAGATTGTTTGCATTGGTACTGAAGCCCCAGTCGGGGACTGAGGAGCCCTGAAATGTGTTTAGATAGTGTGGATACCTCTATTACACAATTTGCAAAGCTGTACGGCTCACGTTTTCATTTTAATGTTTCCTGACATTTTAGTGCCGAGGGCATCACTTTACTCAATCTCATTTTCCTCGTTTTGCATGAAATTGCCCTCACGACTCTGGGCTGGAAAGATTTTATAAAGCATCCGAAAATTGCACTTGGAGAATTTGGAGCGTGGCTAGATTGTTTCCTTAACTTTAACAATATTTACATGCCAGTATCATAACGCCGTTGTATAATGTCATCTTCAGGGTTTCTACCGGTAGGAAAAGTTAACGCAAAATATGGACGTTGCAATTTTTGTACTAGTACATGATTTTGTTAATTTTCAAAAGAAACGAAAATCATTCTGATTTATTAGCAAGAAAAGATTTTAATTTCTTTACTTGTTCTTTTCTGAATTCTCCCACGCAACATGGCCTGCCTTTTTTTTGTGAACATTGCAGTCTTTGGGATGGAGTGGCACGGATCGATATTTTACTTTACTTGCTTAGATGGACTCTATAGATACACGAACTGTGCATTAGTTCACTTGTGTGAGAGTACAATATATTCATATGCTCATAGGCAGCAGTGGCTCGATTCCGAAATTAATAATTTATTTTTCATGCGTAAATTTACCATTTTTTTGTCAACCACCAAACATGATTTTTTAGTATTCTCAAAAAATTTAAGTATGCATTTTTGGCACACCAACAAAATAATAATCCGGCAGATGAATATATTTTGTAGTCAACAAAACAACAACGACTTACTCTGAAGCAATGTTGATGCCAACGAAATGACATTTTGTACCAACTACATGGTCACACACAATAATATGTAAGTATTTTAGACACCTTTTTTTATGCTTAACAGAGCGAATAATCAGTAATGTATGTAGCTTATCTGTTTATAAGCCCAGTAATTTCGAATTTCAGATCCAGCCGATAAAAAAACATTGAAGTACGTTCATGTACCAAAAAATGCACCCTACAAATCTAATGTTTGAAAAAAATTGAAATTCCCCAAGTTTTGGGGATGGAAACCTCGAAATTATTATTCAGCAGGTTTGTCAACATTATGTAACAACAAATTACCAAATAGGCCTAAAATATTATTGTACGTTTAATTTTTCTCTCCAAGCCTGAATAAACTATCGCCTATACACTTCATGTCATATACACGTGACTCGACGTGAACCAATGAAATGTCCAGAAACGAGGTTTTGTCACAGGCTGTATTCCATATTCGTGCAGTATAGGTATATTTATTACAATAGGCAGTCTCTGCGGTTTCGATAAATCCATCGGGTAGGACCACGTGACTCCCATACACAGATACAAAAGTTCTGTTTGTAATACATGAGAAATCTTATGGATTTTTTTTGTGTTTATTAATTTAGGGTAACAAATGGTCCGAGTATTGATTTTATTTACGAGGGAGGCTTGTAGTTTGAGAAATTAACGTAACAACGCTGCGCATGAATAATTTCGTGGGGAGGCACTGACAAGAACGAGATAAATATGTATGGGTAAAAATAGCCGATAGTCCCGATATGTACGATGTACCATTGCAATACACATGTATACGTGGCGTATATTGTAAGTAGGTAAGCGTTCGAGGAATGACCGAAACGCTTACCATAGAGGAAAAGGGGGACAAGAGGCAATTCGTCACTATGGCATATGTCTAATTTTACCTCCATCCCATGGTTGGGTCATTGCACCTGGACAATGTATTATTTTATACGCAAGTAAACTTTAGTACGTACATTTTTAAATAAATTATTGTCATCGCGTATCCATGCGATTTTGGTAATTTTATCATAGTAATCGTAAATCGGTATAATAATATTATCCGTGTTGGTGTTCATGTTGCGTTCAAGTTAAAATATTGGCACTAATCGAATTTGAAAGTATCGACGGTAAATAATCAAAGTGTCACATCACGCGACCGATAATTTTTTTTTTTTTTTTTTTTTTTTTATCAGCTTCTGAGATGATGTATGTAGCATCAAAAATTAATAAACAGAGAAACGATACGAAAAAAAACTCCATGAGACATAAAGACAGTCGCACATATTTCACAAGATGTCTCTATAGATTATTTTTACAGCCGCACGCGAGCAAACCTCCACACTGTATAACAAGAGCGAAATTTTTTTTTGGCAAGTAACATTATCATAATTCTCGATTCTCCTGCATTGTAAACGATATCTTTCTAAGCAATCCCTATATAAGTATATTTAATCTATAGGTATACGTGTATAGCGATCTCTTGTTATTCATCGCCACTACACCAACGAGAATATTTAAATGCTCAAGTTAGCCATTCGATCGGATGGTAATAAGTATACGTAGACAACCTTAATGTATTTGTTTTTAAGCACACTCACGTGCACGGCTTTTTTTTTCCTTCGTTTTTTGTAACTGCATGTACGTACACCACCTTGGGATACTCGCGAATCGTGCAGTCGTGCATTGCCGTGCTGCCGGCGACATCGAGATCGGTAATAATAAGTCTAGACTGAAAATTTATTGCGCCCTAGGCTCGCCCTGACGCATGACGTATGGGGTGTATCTGTTTATCGACAGCGTCACAGAAACTTTTCAACGGTCCTACCAGGAATAAATGGAAATATCAGCTATTTTTCGTGATGCGCCGCGGCCATAAATTTTTTACCCAAGCGAATCATGACAAAAAATATTGTTGGCCGCGATCGAGTACGGGTCTATGGAAGTATGTTTATGTATCGTACCATTATACCATTTTTTATCGATGCCAACTGGTAGATGGTTTACCTTTAGCATAATCTTTTTAAAAATCACTTGGTTTTTTTTTTTTTTTTTTGGTATCGCCCTTGAACTTTGTCGTACATTAATTTATGGTTAATGTAAATATAATCGGTATTACTTGTATCGTATTAAAAATAAGTTTGAAGTTACAGATCTGTGTTATTACACTTCATATACACTTCGGCGATCAGGTTGCGTGAAAAAGACACGATAAAACCACATTAGAGATAATATACTAATAGGTGAATTGTGCAATATAACGAAGCTTAAAGCTATATCGCCTGTGTTTTTCTTAAGATATTGCATGTGTAACGCGTTTTTAATGAGCACGGGAAGATAACATTTCATTTTAACTTTGAAAACTAATTTGTTCGTTTTTGTTTTTGTTTTTTTCACAATCAGTGATGCCATGAGTATAAAAAAAAAAAAACATTTCGGATGTAAGTATGATTTTATGAAACATTCGTCACTGTAAAATCAGTACTTGTATATGTGAGGCTGGTTGGACAGAACTGTACTCAATGGCTCGACAATGCGCGTCCATCTTGACAATTTCCTGTCGCGGAAGACTATATTGTGCGCTATACCGCAGCCCTTCTTTTACCGTCAATGTGCAAGAGGCATAGATATAAGAGAGAAAGGAATCAGAGTACATAATATATTATTTATGTTTTGTGGCTCACAAAAGCGCATAGCTGTATACAGTGGCCATTGAAATACACAACCATGCGCATACGTTTCGACCGAATGGTACACGTTTTAAATGTAAACTCAATCTGCAATCGCCATCGAAAATCATCAAATTTGCATTACAAGCGGTTGCCCATACATTATGCAAGAACTCATGTTCCTTAAAAAAGACTTGCAGTTGATTTTATTTTCAACCCAAAACTCGTAAATGTTTTTTTTTTTCTAAGTAAAAATGCTGTTTGTCAAAGTGCCCTTGGACGTTCTAATTTGCCATTGTACCGAAGACAAACGAGACCAGCTATACCTACATGAA